GTAGTGAACAGTTTTAGAACCAAGCAAACAAAGTCAATTAACCCATAAAGCAAAGATTTTTGGAGAAAAAGTACATACTTTAAGGTTGTAGTAGACTTAACAGGGATGTTATAATAAGGTTTGATATATTCATATAAGAATTGTCCTGAACTATAGTAAACTATATATTTTATTAAAGCTCTTGTTTTACACTTCCTGAAATTCTGAGTCATTTTTGATCTAATTCAATGGTAGTCATGTGACTGCTAAGTAAACAAACAATACTATGACTACATTCCGTAATAGCAAAAATTGCTCTATTATAATAGTGAAGTAATTAATAAGTTGATTGTTTCAGCAAACCTGTTCAATTTGCTTCATTAAATACTTTTTTTTATTTATAATAGAGTACACGACTGCTGCTCAGATCGGACCAGCATGTGAATTTCAGTACTTACACTGCCATATGATCTGAAAGCAGCCGATGGAACTTCAGTAACTTGTGAGCCGTAGCCTAATTGTTTCACAACATATGTAGGCAACTTGTTGCTGTGAGACAAAAAATAAATATTAATCACGTGGTAATAACTGTTTACACATTGTAACACAGACATGCAAACACGCACACGCACGCACACACACACACACACACACACACACAGACAGACACAGACAGCAGAGCTATTCTAATACACTGACAAAAGTGGAAAACTTTGATCAGATTCAATACTTCAGTGAATATATTAATTACTATAATTAAATCAAAATCGCTAAAGTTGAGAGGACACATGCATATTCTGAGGTTTAAAGGCATTTTGGGTAAATTCAGCAACTTATATGACATAATTATTCAAATTTAAGTGTCCGAATGTTGGGGATTAATTTATTGTTTCAGCTCCCCACTGAATAAGTGTTTGAATTATCAATAACTACGCTCTAGACGCTTACATGGATTCAAAAAGATTCACAAGTTATGAATTGCTCGCATGCAAACTCTAATATTATGTATGTGGCATAGTTGTTTTAATGGAATAAAAACATTACTTACACGTTAACAATGAGAAAAACCATGCTACCAATGAAGTGGCTGCCTAGTTCAGCTGTCAGAGCTTGTGTGCTTTTGTACGAGGCAGCATCGGTAAAAATGTATGCTCTGTGTACTTGTAAGTCGTCAAACTCAGATTTGGTCAACATGCTTTCCTGGAAGTCCAACTTTTATGAAATGAAATAAGAAAACCGAATTAGATAAAGAAACAAGCCCTAGTATGACAGAACTATTAAAAATGTTTTAATTATAATGCCCCCCAATTCGCCACCAGATGTTGATTTGGAAAAATATGCATATTGTTGAACCTCTTGCAATAAAACTGTTTGTAGATGTAAATTTGCATAATTTAAATTACACCACCAATCATAGCTGTCTATTTTACTAACAATGCTTGCACCCACACATTTTAGGGTTACAAAACCACTGACATGAAATTTATCTGGATATGCATATAATCATTATTTACTTACAACATTTGGCATGCTAATCAGTTTCATGTATTTGGAGAATGTTTCAAGATTGATTGGACCGGTGTATCTTAGTACGGGGCACGACTTGGTAGAGGCATCCATTGGTGAAACCGACTTGCACTGCAAGTACCATATGGTAGGATGTCTTACATCGGTGGAACTAATGGAATTGAAAAAAATAAATACATGGAGACAAAGTTAGAAAACATAATATTTGTTTTTATTCAGTAGCTTATTGCATACATTAACCATAATTGATTAAGTCGTATCTGAGTGGTGGTTTTGGTATCACAAAACAAAACTTAGTGCTTATAATTCAGTATCTAATGAATTGACCTAAGTTACCTCCAAACAATGGCCACCTATTAGCCATATTTGTTAGAGCCCCCCCCCAAAAAAACACGACAATATCTGTGATTTTAAAACATTTTTTTGTTTAAATATGGCCACATAAATATGACCAAATCTTACCAAAATATTGTTTTTTAATATACACAATTGCATGTGGGAAAAAGTCATGTGCAAAGACATGTGAAAATTAAGATAGTCACCATTTTTTTTTTTTATTCAGTCATGCGATGGGATCTATAGAAAATTGCACACTATTATGGGAAACAAACACTTAAATCTTCAGTAACAGGCCCCTAAAGATGGCGACCTTTTTGACATTTCATTCCGGACCCTTGATTAAGTTTTCATCTAATACTCCCTGAGGTTCACTTGGATTTCAATAAATGGCACTCACTATACTATGCTTTCAGTGTCCTCTTTTTGGCAATGGCTGTTACAAATTGACACTGGTAATGTTTTATTGAAAATTTATTGAAAATTTAATATGCGCATGTATTTTATGGCATCCTGCATATTATCTAAAGTTTGAACAAAGTTTTTTAACAGATACCAGTCAATGTATGTGCATACATTGCCCACACACACACACACACACACACACACACACACACACACATGCATGCACACACGCACACACACACACACACACACAGACAGACAGACAGACAGACAAATGCGTAAAGCATACACGAAGGACCCCCCCATTAGTTATTGTTTTTGATTTCAGAATATTTCTTACCTTATAAGGCGAGCCACTTCAGTCGAGGTTGACAACGCAAACGCATATTGATTGCTATAAACAAAAGCTACCTCCATAAAAACTCTGTGCTCTGCATGAAAGCAATATAGAGTATTTACTTGATTAATAAAAGTGCACAATTATGTAAACAGACAAATCTGAGGATTATTCGAAGACAGTCTTTTATGATGGCATTATGGAATAAGATCATTAAATAAACAAAATTAATAACGTTTCATTTAGGACCTTTGAAAAAACACTAATTTTCCCTGCTAAAATATTTTAATAATTACAAGTCATTATGCATATTAGCTAAGCAATATTTTCGAATGCATTCTGAGTTAGAAAAGACAGACAAAAACAATTAACCATAGACATTATTTTGACATAAAATATTCTATATGTGTGCTGAAATACTACAGATAGTACATTTCAAAAATCTGTGCATAATATATAGGATTTGAAAAAAAAGTAGCATTTATGTAGGAACTATACCTGACAGAGAGAAAATTTCCATAAGAATATACTTTAAAATTTTAGTTGGGACAAAATAAAACACTGACAAGACAAAATTCCCATCGTGAAATTGAAAAAAAAAAAAAAACTGAAACAAGTCAGCCATTTTTAATCTGAATTGTATGTCAAGGGTGACAAGATGTACTGTAAAAGCATTAATTATTTATTGGTTTTTAATTTCACTACTGTAAAATACTTTATTTTAGCTGGAATTGATTTTTGCTTAAACATTTTGGCTGTTTTGTGGGAAGATATATGGCACTGGAATGGCATGCTTTAAAAACAAAATGATCTTCCATCAGCCATTTTGAATCTGATTGTAAAACAAAATGATGTACATCAAAGTCTTATGACATTCAATGAATGAACAATAAGAATGAACTTTTTCCAAGCACAGTTGCAGGAATATAACAAATTTTGAATAACTGTAGCACTAAAATTCAGCCATCTTGTACAACAAAATCATAGTTTGCATGACGTACGTGTCATAGGGCAGTACATTCCTTTTAACAAGCAATGCTGGTACATGAATATAGTTGAAAAAATACAGCAGTCTATTTTGGGAGAATATAAATCTAGTATTAATCCAATGGCCTATTAAATATTACATTATAAGTGTGCTCGACCTAAAAATGGCGAGTACAGAAACAACATATTGCTAGTCAAATTTCGATACAGTATTGTGTACCGGTAGTTTTTTTACTATCAGGAAGCCATCTCATGAATCAGTACGTAAAGGTTGGTGACAAATGATAGAGGAACTTGAGCTATGATTTTTTTTGTAAATTTCTTCATATTTTTAATTTATGCAATACCTGTTCCAAAAACACAGAGTAAAATGTTAGAATGTTCATGCTGGACATATGCAAATGCCTAGGTATGAATTACATGTCGTATGGTACATGACATATTACCAAGTTCCCACTTATCTTTACTGTATCCAATTTTTGACATGCCCCATATTTTGACAATCTTAGATCAGAGTCTATGGCAGTGTGCATTTCTACATTTTTTTACCAAAAATAATATCTAAACTAGCACTGAAGATACACAGTGAATACAGTACTTGTGTGTAAAGTTTCAGCTGAGTTAGGCGATATACAATGTATAAAGTCAGCATAAAAATGAACCAAAACAAATGGCCACCAATCGGCCACCTTCAGGCATCAAAATGACCCCCTAAGTTTGTCAAATTATATATATATTTTTTTGGAAATTATATTGAATTATATTCGAGAAATGGTTCTAGACACACACACAGACCCAAATTAATATTTTCAATCTAATTATAGCAGTACCATGCTCATCTACAACTGAAAAATTAAATTGTTGTTTTAATAAGTTAAATAACAATTCAATAACTGAAATGAAAACATACCAAGTGTACCAACAGCTCTCTGATATGAATATAGTACGTCCTGTTTCCCTTTATTCATATCCATTATCTGTTGAAGCTTCTCTTCATCAGAGACAATCGGTACCTCACCCAGCATAACCATCCTGCAAGTAAAGTAAAAATTGTTATCAGATTTATAAATAATTATTCCTATTTTGCGAGGAACAAAATCGCTAAAGTCACGTACATTGCATTGTTTACACAACACTGGTTCGGCTACATCCATCATCTACAATGCATGAATTATTGTTTTTTTCCCATGATTTAAGTTTTTTTACATTTTATTCATACCATTTCATTAGGAATCTAAATCAAGAGATTTAAATTGTCGTGATTTGAAAATCTGACATAGCTGTGAATAAATTTTCGCATATTAAGACCGCAATTTAAAGGAAAGTTTAATGTTACAAAATTTGATGACTGTCTCTCATCAAATTAAAGTGCTGGGTTACAGAATGAACTGTTGGTACCATGAACTAAAACAACAAAGCTTTTCTTTTCTATGTTTTTATTTAGTTTACTGATTTCAATGGGGAAAAGTCAGTATCAAGAAATCCACGAGTTCAAAAAACAGCTGACATCATTTTTGCCATAGAGGGCACACTTCACAGAAAAATGTGAAATATGTACTGTAAAATACTTTATTTTAGCAGGAATTAATTTTTGCATTTTAGGTGTTTTGTATCAAATTTATTTTCACTGATTTTCGGCAGGTTAAATGTAAAATATAGGAAAAAAGGTATTTTCGCTGGATTTTATTTTCACTAAATCAGTGAAAATTGATTACAAGCGAAAATAAAGTATTTTACAGTAAAAAAGGTTTTGACAATGTGCACGAACAACAGAAACACAAAGAGAGAAAGGGCATACACAGTTTGTACATTTTATGGACATAACTCTTGTAATTATATTCCAAATATGCCTACAGAATGATCTGCCAAATAACATTTATAATACTAGTAAGCATGTTCTAATAATCTGAATAATCACAAGGTACCGTAATTTTTCATTTTTAACTGTTTGCCCATCACTGAATTGATGGTTATCATTGTTCATTCCTCAAAGAAATGAATAAATATACCAAGATTTATACAAGGCATTCAATTCTAGTCAGTTCAAAAAAATACATTGCCAGAGGAGACAACACAAACCTCTACAGGGACGAAATGTAGCGATCAAAGATTAGCGAAGAAGATGGCTGTGTAATTATATCCATCTTAATACTGTTAACATAAACGATGCAAACCACCTGAGGCTATTCCGAGGACTTTTCGATGACCAATTAATCTTCAAGTCTAAATTTTTCGTTACCATGGTAACAATGCAACATAATATAATATATACACATGTATACCTATAATTGTCACATTTTGCTTCTATTATAAGGCAATTTCCCATATTTTGAGAAATCTCCTATTGATTTATGATTTAGAAATCATACCTTCCAGATTAAAAAGAATGTAAAAATGAAATATATTTCAGTTACAGTTCAGTATGTTGTTGTGTCTATTTCACTGAATTCAAGTTAATTTTAGTACAGCCATTACAATAGAACTTTGAACAAAAATGTGGTTTAGAATTTTCATAACACTTCTGTTCTATTGTAACAATCTTAATTTAATCTCAATTAAAATTCATGCATAATATATTTTAACTGTATTTAGGTTAATGGTTTCAGTTTTCATGGAAGACCTTCAGTGTAGGTGGATGCTTATTGGAGGGGGGGGTGCATTGTTCGCAGAACACCAAACCCTAAAGGTAGATCAATTATATTAACTGATTTTGATCAAACAAGGAATGTAACAAGCTGAAGTACCACTCTCCTCAAGGACCGCATGCGACTCAAAAAGTCACGATTTCTCATAATCATTTTATGCCATTTGGGATATTCCATTTTGTAATAAAAGGTGAGAACATAGAAAGCAATAGAGGAAGAAAGTTCCAGTGTTCCAGCAAAACACATTCCTAAGGGGATTAAGTACAAGTAACAATATGTTTTTTTCTTTCTAGCATAATCTACGTTCTAGTTAAGGCATGATTGACTCATAATTCCGGAACAAATTTAACATCATCAAAATTCACTGTCTTTGTATCATGTCGTGTATGATACAGGTTCTATATATCGTAGTATACAACGCAACGTGTAAGGAAACATTACAACGGGTACAGTGATTAACAGTCTTGTGCACACTAGATGATATGGAGTATCATGATAATAAATTAATGCAGAGAATTCAGAGACTGAACCTGGAGTGTAATAATTCTCTTTATACCTGATTATCACTTTCAATTATTAGAATTACTTTATTTTCACTTGAGGGCTTTTCATAAATCAGTGAAAGTGAGAAGGCTATATTTTAGACATTTGTGGAAATGATTTCCACAAAATATTATTACAATATAATAACTTATACCGTATAAAAAAAAACATGTGAAAAAATGAATGATATCAACATGAGCATTTTTAAATTATTTGACTTACAGATTTGTTTTCCACTCTCGCACAATCTCACACAATACACACTATCAAATTATTTCTCATTTTTTTATATTTGTATTGAATTTACAGAAAAATCTCTTGACATATATCCAATAATAAACATATACTCACTGCAGAATATTTGAAACAATTGCATCTATATTAAACATTGATGCTAATTGGATTTCCAATAATAGATTTCCACCTCTGATGAAACAATGAAAGTTAAAAAAGACAAAAACAATTAGCAAATAATTACAATTCCACTTATAAAACAAGCATTTGTTTAGACATGCACAGACGTCCAATTAAGTCCCAATTCCCTTCTGAAAATTATTTTAAATCGCAGCACAACTCAAAAAGAATGAATTAGTTGATTTCATACCTATCCCCTCCAAAAAATTGAATTAACGAGAAACATTAATAGCATCTGAGAAGTCTTACCTGAATATAAAGACAGACTCAGCAACCGAATGTTTTCTACTACAATATTCATTCATTGCCTCATTCTTACAATGGAGCTACAAAAATCAACATGAAATACTGTAAAATACTTTACTTTCACTTGCAAATAATTTTCCTTAAGGAAATGATTCAGTGAAAATAAAATCCAGCAAATATACCTTTTTTCCTATATTATCAACTTGTCAAAAATCAGTGAAAATAAATTATATACAAAACAATCAAAAAGTCGTTTCAGCGATAATTAATTCTAGCTAAAATAAAGTATTTTACAGTAGTATAAAAGCATTATTTTTTATTAAGAAAAATGCATGAAATATGCTTCGGCACTTCTTTGATGAATCTTTTTTTTTTCATATCTGTATATATGTAGCTTTAGTAATACGAAGACAGACAATGTTTAATTTTAGATTCAATTCAATACAAACCGTCGCCGTCTTTACACCATAATCTTCCAAGATATCAGATGCCTGTTTAAAATTCAGTAAAAACCTGTCCGGTTGTTGAAGCGGTAGTTCTGTGGCAAACAAAATAAATATAAAAATGTTCACACAGAAGATTTGAGAAATGAAACAAAAAATATGGTAAATAATCAAAATAAGCAGGTGCATGGAGGAAAATGCAACGAGCGGAGAACGGTATCCATTACATCAATTGCGCCGTTATCTACATTAGACAAGAATGCACAAATTACATGAACTGTAGTAGGTCTGAGGTGGTTTGAAAAGGCATCGATTTTATGCGAGTCGTTAGTGATTCAAAATGGTGATCGCAAATTATAGTACTTCATCCCCGACAGCAAGCAGGTAGTTATAACATGTACAAACGATTACTTGTTCCATGTACGTCATTCAAACAATATTTTTCCGGAATAAGAAATTATATGCCACAACATGTATGTACATGTAAGCCACATTTCGCAAAATGGACGTAAACATGTAACTGATATTGATAGTTCATGAGCAAATTTATAACAAAAAAATTGGACATCATGAATATTGTGCAACATATTAATTGTTTTATTTCCATCGCTATAAATTTTTGCAAGCGTTCGTTGCAAAATTTGGCATTTGCCTCGGCCTTGCAAAATTGTGAATATTAATCTTTTGCAAAATTTGAGTGGTTTACCATATTTGGTTATTAAATGGATTCACTGTTAATTTGCCCTTTAAGTCTCGCAGACAAATTTTGGCACACTCATAAATTGTACGAGATCCAGGAAGTCTCTGCAATTATGTTTTGAGATGACATTTGTTTGTGTCAGTGATGCAATATAAAAAAAAATCTTCCTTATATCATATAAAATCAAGCACTAGTACAAAATGTGTACAAACATGTCATTGCTCTTTGCATGTGTAATTTAGATGTGTTTTTTTTTCTGAATGAGAAACTCTCATCCATAACATGTATATACATGCGATCACAATTCATGAGAAGCAGTGATGTACTGTCATTTTCTTTTTTGACAAAAAAATCAATTTACAGCAAATTGTGTAAAAAATAATTCTTGTGTATAAATGTAACATATATGGTACTAACGCTGGCACACTGAAAAATTATGTTTCTGATCGCCTGATTTTCGCTGGTAGGAAATGGCCACTTTTAAATTCTATCAGTCCATCCTGATTTTTTTTCTTATTAATGAGAAATATTTTTTTTTTCAGATTTGTCATGTTACTGCAGACTGATATCTACTACAATAAGAAATTCAACCACTCAAAAGATGCAATTTTAATTTTAACAATTCATCTACTAGTATTTCGTCTTCCAAATATAAATATTTATCCATAGTTCAATTATTAGAAGGAATAGTGTTCATCCATGTGATGCGAGACCACACTAGAAATATTTATTTTGAGAAATAATATTGTCTGTATCTTATAAATTTCAGTTTTGATACAACATCCAAATAAGCTGGATACAAGTGAAAACACGATTCTGGAATAACATGCACGTGTCACAAAGATTTAACACAGTGATTGATGTCTACAGTATCTTAATTTTATCCTTTTGTATTCGAGAATGTGAGCGTAGAGAATTTTTCCCCAGAATACATATAAATCAACTGATTAATATTCCATGGTATTTCTAAACTACTGGTGAGAATGAACCAGCATAATGCACAAACAGATCAAAAAAAAATTCATCTCAAGCTACCAGATATACCAGCAAGTAAGCAAAAAAAGCAATTGAACTGTGATTAAGCTCTGCAGTGTATGTTTTTTTGTCACCATAATCTTTCCATCTAAATATAGCATTCAACAATTTTTTACCAATCTAATCCCTTCTCCAGTTCCTGTTGGTTTTTTTTTTTTTTTTTTTTTTTCAAAATTTAAGCAACATCATTTTTAAAGTTATGAACATAACTTTATTTTCAGTTAATTATTCTGCTGATAGCCAAATGTGTTAAATTAAAGCGCAAAAGGTATGTAAAGTTACAACAGCAATGTATTGTTTCTATCAAAAACCAGTGAATTTAAAAGCTAGCATGTAATCATGCAACATCAAATCCCCTAACAATTAAAAAGCTTGTGAATATTTCTCCTTAAAACGTATCTATACAAATAAATTACACTTGTCAACTCAAATAAACAGATAAACTCAAATTGTAGTGGAGATATAAAAAGTAATCAAAGTATAGGATGCGACGGAATAAAGCACAGCTAGATGATAAATGTATCCACAAATTGGCTAAACACACGTATATGTAGCATCTTGGGAAATTTTTTAGTTGCCCCTAGTCGAGTGTACCCCTGGGTGTGGAGATCTGAAAGCACTGATATATTATCACAAGTATTATTAAACGTAACAAGAACATTTTATTTATAAATAATAATAAATGGCAGTAAAGAAGAAACAAGATTCACATAACATAAAAATTGTAAACTGTGTTAAAGGGAAAACCGCGCGTACGATCAGAAAGCATAGATGTATAGAGCACGTTTTGTGTTGGTAAAACCACGGAGATAGCCCCAAGGTGAAACCAACAAATCACGAAAGCTTCAATAAGGACAGTATCACGGCAAATTATTGTATCATTATGCAACGATCATTGTTTTGAACGCCGAAGATAGTTACACTATTTATAATAACGTAGTGACTAGTCAATAACAATGTATACAGTATAGTAGCACAGACACAGGTGTGTGCGCTTGTTGCATTCGCCCCCGTTACGGTGGCAGGGATCGAATTCGCCGCTTTGCACTTACCTCCTTTGAAAAAATAGACGACTCTGACGAAAGGTGGTGAGACGAAGTCGTTCAAGTCTTTTGACTTTAACGGATTGAAAAGCAGGTTCTCGTCAGTTGCAGTTGCAAATACTGCAAGATTTGTCAACACGAGAACCGCCCAGGAACACTTCCGTAATGCTGCCATCCTGCATAAGAATATGAGAGGTCATGAGAACGCCTGTCTGCTTTATTGGATCGGGTTGTACTATTTTGCTCTGTGGGGGAAATTTCCTCAACGTTGAGGGACTGTGATTGGGGCGGATGTCTTGTTTCAACTCGTCAGTGTGCACTAAAAAGAAGCTGAGATAATTGTTATTTTGCATATGTTATAGTTAAGTAACAATATATGCTGATTTACATTGCCATTGGATTTAACAGAGTTCTACTAATGATTTTAATTTCAAATTTTCACAGAATACAGATGTTCATACACTGCCATAAAAAAATAAAAAAAAGTTAAATTTGTCAAAATTTGCAAAATAAACTGCATCTCTACCTTAAAGTGAGAGGAAAACCATTTGAAATCATGGGGGTGGTCGCAAGATCTGTTTTTAAAAAATGTAAGCTTGATACAGAGGGAAAAAAACATGCATTCAAGGTGTTGGAGGAAAAAAATTGGCACATGCAAGAAAAATAAAAAAATGTAAATCATGATATAAGACAGTGAAAAAAAAAGTGACTGGTCACACTTTTCCAGCCATACTCCCATGGTTTCAAAAGATTGATCCCTCTAATTTGGAATCAAGTATTGATTGTCAAAACGTTATCAAATGAAATTTCCTAATTTTGTTTTTGCTACAATACAGTTACTTCCATTGCATTACAAATGTATTTGTGTTCTATTATTGAAATAGCGTTTTATACCCAAAATAAAAGTGCACAGTCCTTTAAAATGAAATCATACAAGAAGGTTATATTTATAGGCGTGTCGTTCATGGTGGTCGTCGTGGTCGCGACTGACTCGGATGGAGGTCACAATATTTTCATGATCCATCCTGTCTCTGTCTTTCGGCGTTTCGGCGTTGACAAGCTAGAAATTCCTCTATTTTCTAGCTCAGACACGTCCACTATTAAAAATTAATTTGAACGACAATTCCAGTTGCAGGTTACATTATTAAATATTTAGCAATATGAACCTTCCTATATATTTTAGACGGTGGTAAATTTAGTACCCCCTAGAGCAGGCATATTGAAGAAAAAACACCCCCTATTTCAGACACATATTGAGAACATCCTACCCCATAATGCGAGCATTCTCTGCCGTTGTTTGTGATCAACTCAGACAAGTTACTATGTATGCAACTCCTGTTGGTGTCATTCATTGTTAGATGAAGAAAGATGAGACTATTGACATGATAGTGAATATGATCATTTATAGTTTAATAATAAAAAAAAAAAAACTGTAATCAGTGAAAATAAGTTTTATACGCAAAATATTTACAACATTTTTTGCCGAAAATAATAATATTTAATACGTATATGGCTCGTTTCGCTAATTACAGATAATCAAAAATCTGTAATCAGCGAATACACGTACATTATTAACAGCCGTCGGTTGAAACTTGACCATTATATTTCGTGACCTTTCAGTAGTGAATATATAACAACATAAAACATATTCAAAAATCTGTAATCAGCGAAACAAGGGTGAATATACTGGTCAAGTTTCGTCCGACAGTTGTGAATATTGTACGTGTCAGACCCTTGTTTCGCTGATTACAGATTTCGATTATCTGTAATTAGCGAAACAAACCATTTACTAATTAAAATCCCGTTATTTTCGGCAAATGTTTTATGTTATTGTATACACTACTGACAGCTCTTTTAAATAGGGGGTTCGAAAACAACAATTATATATTTGATGTGAAATGTGTGAATTTTATAATATTCAAAAAGTATGTTTGAGCTCTGTTACAGACATTTTTATATTATCGATTCTAAATTCAATTGGTAAGGTATTTCACATAACATCTTTGGACTATTTTACCATTTTAGAGAAGGGGTTCTGAGCCATTCCCCACCTACAGACAAAAATATTCACACCATTGATCCACTACGGCAAAATGTTGTACACAAAAAAGACAAGACTGTACTTATCTTAGCATTATTGTCTAAGTATTTTAAGGTAGAAGACTACTTACGAGTTTTTTCGCTCTTCGCAGATGTCAGCGCACATAAAAGTGACACGATTTCATCTGTCTACAATTATTCATTTTAGTATTAGTCAATTTTGTATTATGTAATTTTATTTCTGTACAGGGCCTCAGCCTATTGTACAAAATGTAATGGGTAGAAAAGTGCATAGCACG